CCCCCTCAACAGAGGGATTGCCCGTTGTTGCTCTATGGCTTGGGGCGGTGGAACCGGCAGGCCACAGGGTGGCACTCCACACCCTGCTCTTCTGCGCCCGGTCTGGTTGCCTCTCTGTAAGAGGAATGTCCTGCCTCTGAAATAGGTGCCCTGGTCAAACAGGTTGCAGAGGGAGTGCTCCTGGACTCAGCCGTCACAGAGGAGTGCCTGGATGGCTGTGGCACCTGGGCCTATTGGTATGTACAGGGAATGCAAAAGGGACACTGCTGGTGAGGCTGCCATTGTGGAGTGAGTAGTCAGGCTCAGTTGGCACAAATGGTATCTAGACCAAGACCAGTGCCATGACCTGGATCTATAGGATGAGATCCAGGAACATGCTGAGTCAACGTCTGACTCTGAGAAGTCTGAGGCCGACCAGGGCGGTGCCAGTGACAGCACCGGGGATCAACGAGATGACATGTGTCTGGCTATCGCTATTGGCTTCTCTCTATGAGTCGGTGCCAGTACCAGGACCAGCAGTGCTGGTGGCGGCATTGGGTCTGGGTATTGACCCTGCATCGTTGGTACTGCAGAATAGGTTAGCTCCATCATAGTTGGTACCAGGGTGTGCGGTGCCACAGGAGGCGATGCTGATGTCAGCAGTGTCCTTGAGTCCGACAGGCCCAGTTCCGGTGGTACAGGTGGTCCCTTGGTTATAGGTAACGTGGGCTGGTACAGTACCAGAATTGGTACTGGTATCGGCATCAGAGTTGGTGCAGGCCCCAAGCCCGGGGTATGGCCCGGAACATCATAGTTGGTACCAGGGTGTGCGGTGCCACAGGAGGCGATGCTGATGTCAGCAGTGTCCTTGAGTCCGACAGGCCCAGTTCCGGTGGTACAGGTGGTCCCTTGGTTATAGGTAACGTGGGCTGGTACAGTACCAGAATTGGTACTGGTATCGGCATCAGAGTTGGTGCAGGCCCCAAGCCCGGGGTATGGCCCGGAAATCTTGGTTGCACTGGACTCTGATGCCAAAGGGGGAGTGTTGGTGATCGTCATCCATAATCACGACTGACTCCAGAGATGAGGTGAGCTCCATAAGCTCACGTGCTCCATCAAAGTTCTGGCATCAAGGGATGCTGAACTGCCTCAACATTTGCCTCCAGTACAGAGCTCTCTGCATGTGCCATGGTGAACCGGTGCTGTCGGGATCTGGAAGCCTGCTGGCGAGCACCATTGGCTGGATGCCCATCTTTGTGGTACACCTTAAGGCCATCTCTCGTTGGGGATCTCCTCCTATGTTGCCTCATCCTTGAGTGCGCCAGGGATTGAGACCAGTGCCTTGACGATGAGGATTTCGCCAATGCCACATGCTTCGGTGCCGCAGACGGTTCTCTAATAGAAGCCGGTGCACCGTGTACACTCAGTGCCGCTTCTGGTGCCACCAGTTGAAGTACAGACTCCATTAAGAGGAGCTTCTGCCGGGAATTATGCTCCCACTTTGTCCTCGGCTTGAAGCTCCTGCAGTTTTGGCAGCTGTTGGCGCGCTAGCCCTCTCCTAGGCACTTTAGACAGGAGTCATGTGGATCACCGGAGGGCATAGGTTTGGAGCACCTTACACATGGTTTGAAGCCCTGAGACCCAGGCATCCCCTCCCCAGGAGAGCAGATAAGTGGAGAAGACTCCCCGATAAGAACAATAAACTCCTCGGCTTGAAGCTCCTGCAGTTTTGGCAGCTGTTGGCGCGCTAGCCCTCTCCTAGGCACTTTAGACAGGAGTCATGTGGATCACCGGAGGGCATAGGTTTGGAGCACCTTACACATGGTTTGAAGCCCTGAGACCCAGGCATCCCCTCCCCAGGAGAGCAGATAAGTGGAGAAGACTCCCCGATAAGAACAATAAACCTAACAACTGTCTACACTAGAAACTATCTAACTTCAAACACTTAACTATGAACTGTAAAGCACTAAGGGATAGATTGACTATCAAGTGCTCCAGCTACCATCACTGGTGGTAAGAAGGAACTGAGGGGGTGGAGGGCCAGCAGGGATATATATGCACCAGTACACTGGCACCACTCCAGGGGGGTCCTTGGCTGGCCTGACGAATACTGCTAAGAGAAAAATCTCCAGAATCTGTACACGCAGCGCGTGCACACCTATCTGGAATGGACATGAGCAAGCACTCGAAGAAGAAACAAAAGCTTTGTTGCTCAATTGCCTGTCTAGACAAAGCCTGAGGGAGGCAGGGGATGAAGCCCAATGCTTTAGGTGTGCCTAAGTTAAGCAGAATCCATAGACTCATAGACTTTAAGGTCAGAAGGGACCATTATGATCATCTAGTCTGACCCCCTGCCAATCTACCCTGGAGGAAAATTCCTTCCCGACCCCAAATATGGCGATCAGCTAAACCCTGATCATGTGGGCAAGTTACTCACCAGCCAGACACCCAGAAAGTTCTCTATAGTAACTCCTATCATCCCTCCATTGATCTATTTCCCACTAATAATGAATGGTCAATTAGTTACCAAGATCATGTTATTTCACCCAACCATCCCCTTATCATAGAATCATAGAACTGGAAGAGACCTCAGAAGGACGTCAAGTCCAGCCCCCCGCTCTAGGCAGGACCAATCCCATCTAAATCAACCCGGCCAGGGCTTTGTCAAGCCGAGACTTAAACACCTCTAGGGATTCCTTTTTGTAGTGGGGGGCCCAGAACTGGACACAGTACTCCAGATGTGGCCTCACCAAAGCCGAATAAAGGGGAATAATGACATCTCTGGATCTGCTGGCAATGCTCCTCTTAATGCATCCTAATATGCCATTAGCCTTCTTGGCTACAAGGGCACACTGTTGACTCATATCTAGCTTCTCATCCACTGTAACCCCCAGGTCCTTTTCTGCAGAACTACTACTTAACTGGTTGGTCCCCAGCCTGTAACTATGCTTGGGATTCTTCCGTCCCAAGTGCAGGACTCTACACTTGTCTTTGTTGAATCTCATGAGATTTCTAGTGGCCCAATCCTCCAATTTGTCTAAGTCACTCTGGACCCTATCTCTGCCCTTAAGCGTATCTACCTCTCCCCCTAGCTTAGTGTCATCTGCAAACTTGCTGAGGGTGCAATCTATCCCCTCATCCAGGTCATTAATAAAGATATTGAACAAAACCGGTCCTAGAACCGAACCTTGGGGCACTCCACTAGAAACCGACCGCCATCCTGACATCGAACCGTTGATCACTACCCGCTGGGCCCGGCCTTCTAGCCATCTTTCTATCCATCTTACCGTCCATTTATCCAATCCACAATGCCTTAACTTGCTGGCAAGAATATTGTGGGAGACCGTATCAAAAGCCTTGCTAAAGTCAAGGTATATAACATCCACTGACTTCCCCATGTCCACCGAGCCAGTAACCTCATCATAGAAGCTAATCAGATTGGTCAGGCACGACTTGCCCTTTGTGAATCTATGTTGACTATTCCTAATCACTTCTCTCTCATCCAAGTGTCTCAAAATGGATTCCTTAAGGATCCCTTCCATGATTTTTCCAGGAACCGAGGTAAGACTCACCGGCCTATAGTTCCCTGGATCGTCCTTCTTCACTTTTTTGAAGATGGGCACTACATTTGCCTTTTTCCAATCATCCGGGATTTCTCCCGATCTCCACGACTTTTCAAAAATAATGGCCAAAGGCTCCTCAATGACAGTTGCCAACTCCCTCAGTAACCTCGGATGCATTAAGTCCGGACCCATGGATTTGTGTACGTTTAGCTTTTCTAAGTAGTTCCTAACCTGTTCTTTACCCATCACGGGCTGTCCATCTTCATCCCATCTTGCATCACTTAGTGCAGAAGTCCAGGAGCCGACCTTGTCCGTGAATACAGAGGCAAAGAACGCATTGAGTACTTCAGATTTCCCCACATCATCTGTCACTAGGTTACCTCCTTCATCTATTAGGGGCTGCATACCCTCTCTGATCACAGGGAGGAAAGGTTAGGTTTAAACAGGGAGGAAAGGTTAGGTTTAGGTAAGATACTACACATTTGGGCATATGTTATTTTTAACCCTTTTCTCCCTACTTGGGATGTTCCCTACAGACAAATAAATTATACTTCGTTTTGAATGAGCTCTTCTCTGTCATTGCATTTACCAGCTGGTCATAGCTACCCAAGGGAATTTTGGGTCAGGGGTCAAACCAGTTGAGATGGTTCTGCTGGAGATAATATGCTTTGTAAATAAAGGTGCTGTAAATTGATAGTCCAGTGAAAAGTGGGATGAATTGTAGGATTCTAGAGTAGTACAGTTATAGGCTTGTCAGATGAAAAAAGTTCCCAGGGAAATACAAAAAGAGCACAAGCACAGTTCATCCCTAACCACGTCACACAAGGCTTGTCAGCTTACAAGAAATTCACCATGAGTTTGACTTTATCAGAGTCCCACAAGTGGCACACCAGTGACACCCTAGCTATGGATTACACAATTTTTAGAAAAGTTCCTGAATGTTTTCATGAAGTTGAGAGGACCAAATTATTTTGGGGAAATACTATAAAACAAATAAAATAACTCAAAATAAATCAAAGCTACAACAGCAACTTGAAGATTCTGGTGTAATCATATTCCAGGCTTATGATTTATGAGCGCAGCAGAAATCCCTTAATGGCATCATGGCCACACAATTCTCCCTTGACAAAATGAACAAGATATCGATGGAGCTATGCTTTCCAACATTCTACAATACAGAGATAAACAAGAGCTACAAAGTAGTGCAATTTATTAAAAGAAATGCTGCCTCTTACCTCATTGAAATCTCCAATCCTTGGAATGTGATTTTTCCTGCTCTTCCCAAGGACTGATCCAGAGTTTGAAATCACCACTGCAGTGTTCCACAAAGTTCCTCCATGTACATCATCTCTCTCCAGAATTGGAGACACCACAACCATATTGTGTTTCTTTGCCAGCTATAGAAATGAAAAAAACCCCTCTATTTATGAAAAGCCTTCTATCATTAACAATGTTTCTATTTTCCCCCTCAAAAGTGTAATATAGAAGAGGTTTTAAATTTTTCTTGTTCAAGGAGGCATGTCTCAGTGAAAACTTTCCAGTCTGAATCCTTCCAGCAGAAGCATCAAGGTGCAGTTAGATGAGTTCTACCATAGTAACAGTCCTTAACCTGTTGGCCATTCCCACCTACACCCAAAAGGGGCATATGAAGCTGAGAAATAAGTGTGTGAGTTGGGGGGAAGGGGAGAATGTAATCCTGCTCTCATTCCTTCATTCTGGTACACTACTTAGTAGATTTGCTTAACAAAGGGTGGTTGGAAAAGGTTAAAAAAATCATGGGACATGCTTAAAAAATGTTTTCTTTTATTTTCTGAAATATAATCATTGGTTTTTCAATGTAGAAACAAAAGCAGAAAACTTACTTATTTTCAGTTTTTGTTTTATTCTCACTTTCCAGTGATAATTTTTTCAAGAACATTCTCATTTCAAATAGCCATTTTCCTTTGAAAAAAATGTTTCTACTCAAAATTTTAGACCAACTCTAACTTAACATCTGGTGTCTGACCCTTACTTCTAAAGCTTCCTATAAATCCTTGAGCTGATTGATTCCTGATGCCTTCTACAAAGACCTGCAGGAACCAGAGTGAAAGATTAATGAATGCATTGTCTAAGAATCTCTTGCCAGTGCCTGACATATGAAGTCACAGCATACTGGTGAACAACTCTTTGCCATTTATTAAATCAGTCTGGACCGACTAATCATTTTTATTCTCTTTGCAAAGCATCTCATGTTTGGCTGTTACCTATGGGATAAACATTCAGCTTCTCTTCAGCAGCAATACAGACGCACATGACACTGAACTCCAACAATTGGAAACAAAAGGATTCAGGCAAGGCAGTCTTCCAAGGATGTCTCAGGACTCAATCTCTCCAACTAACCCAGATTCTACTTGCTGCTTAACAGTTAGGCATTATTTGTCCTTTTATTCTTTCTTCCGTTAAATGTAGTGTTAGGAACACAACAGAAAGATTGTTATGCAATTTGATGATCCCCAATTATGTTAGGCAAAGAACCACGACACTGTTCACTAGGGATGTAAGCGACTAGTTGACTAATCAACTACCCGATAAAAATATGCAGGAGCCAGTGATGTGGGGAGCGCCCTATCCCAGACGCATGGCAGGAAGTGACACAGACTTGGGACACCACTTCCTAAAGCTTCCATTGCCGGAAACGGTGATCCATGGCCAATGAGAGGTGTGATTGCCGATACCTCCAGAGGTGCAGGTAAATACAATAGCAGCGACCCATCAGCAATTTATCCTGGCAGGCCACCGACTTTTTATTGCCCATCCTCACCTTAGGCCATTAACTCAACATAGGGAAGTGCTCCACATGTGAGGTATGTCAGATTGAAGATGTAAGGTGATTACAAATCTGTGATTAGTAGCCCAGTTCACATATGGCATTTCAAAGCAGCAGCGCCACACAGCTATGCTTGGGATCAGCTATGCACCGCTGCTCCTTTGAAATGCTGCCTTGGAGTTTCAAAGTGGCAGCACCGCGCAGAGCCCAGGGTGAGCTCGGGAGTCTGTAATTGATCCCAGATTCCGCTGAAATGCTGCACGGAGCCCAGGATCAGCTTGGGAGTCCCCAGCTGACCCCGGGCTCCACGTGGCATTTCAAATTGGCAGCTCAGCATGGAACCTGGGGTCAGCAGGGGGACTCTGAGACCCTCACTGATCCCAGGCTCCATGAGGGTGCTTCCACTTTGAAATGCACAAGAGCTCCTGCTTGGGCCTCTTGTACATTCCAAAGTTGGCCCCCTTGCAGCCTGGAGTCAGTAGGACTTCCCGCTGGCCCTGGGCTACATGTGGAAAATTATTTTTGGTTCTCTGATTTTTATAACGTACAAGACTGATATACAAGAAGTGATTATAGAATGGTACGAATTCAATTTTCTACCTTCTGGCAGAACCTTGTTGTCAGACCAGCCTCTGCTGATTCAGCAAATTCAGTCCATGGTAGCTTCTCTCTTGTACAGAATGCAAAGGGCATAGCTAGACAAACACGAACATGAGAGGTCAATAAAAAGATTTAGGTTGCTGAACAGTTATGGGGTGAGTTCTGCTTTATTTATATAAACACAGGTCAATCAAATGTGTTCAGAAGCTGCTTTCGTGGACACCAAGAAATAATTTCCACATTTGAGTATGATGCTGCTGTCACCTTCCTGCTCAAAGGACTTTGGTTCTTAAAAATGTAGGATAGGAATCTTAAAAACATTTATTTTTGTAAACATGTAACTGCTGAAAAATTACATGTTTACATGAAGGAGGCAGGTGAAGCCGGTGCTTGTGGGGACCCAGTTGTTAAGGTAGAAAGGCAGCTCCACAAGAGCTGATATGCATAGGGAAATGGCATGAAAGCTGGCTTCCTGCATGTACTGACTCCTGTCTGCCCCCTTTCTCCACTGCACTGCTGCCTCTCTATTAGCAAATGTGTGGGAGCTGATGCTTATGGGGAGCTGGCTTTTAAGCTAGCTCTCCATGAGCACCGGCTCCCATTTCCCCCCAGCCGCACTGCTGCCTCTGTGGGAGGCAGCGGGGGGGCAAGATGACTACATGGGAGCTGGCACATGCAGAGAGCTAGCTTAAAAGCTGGATCCCCATGCATAGTGGCTCCTGCCTGCTGCCCCTACCCCAAGTGCTGCTGTCCCTCTATCAGAGGTAGCAAGACAGGAGGGCAGGGGGCTTCCTGGGAGCCAATGCTCATAGGGAGCCAGCTTTTCAGCCAGTTCTCCATTGGCACCAGTTCCCGCTTCTCCCCCACCTTTCTACCTCTGATACTTAGGAAACAAGGTGGGGGGGTGGGGAGGAGAAGAGGGGCGAGTGTAACCATTAGGATTAACCAATGAGCCCAGACTTATTGGTTAATCATGTAAATGGGTACATGATAACATCACTAATTTAGGAGTTTCTAAAGTTTAGATTTTCTAGGCTGCATTCTCACAGAGACAGCATAAGACTAGTTATATGCAGCAGACCAGGATCTAATTTTCGCGTACTCCTCAAGTAGGAATTTAATTTCTTAGGACAAGGAGTGTCACTCAGGCATTCAGCACTATGAAGCAAAGACCCTTGTAATGAAGCAACATTCATTCAATTAAGAAACCACGCTGACAGGTGTGACTGGCCAGAAGACAAGTGGTTATGATTAGAGATCAGGTAGTAAAGTAGGGTGAAATGAAAAGTAAAGATTACCCACTATCACACAAGGGGCAGAGGATCCCCTAAAGGTATCTGCTCCTTTCATGACAATAAAGAGAGAAGAAAAGAAAAAAGTTTCTCATAGAGTGGAAGCTTTTTGTCCCCAAAACTGGGTGTTTTTCCCAACAAAAGTCACATTGTCATGTGTACCCTTTATTTTGACACCAAAAAGCTGGACATGCCCTAAGACAGGGCTACTCAACTTTGAAAGCCTCAGGGGCCACAATGATACTCACAGCACATACCAAGGACCACAACTTAAGTGTGGTGGCACATACATGCAAATATATACGCAAATATATGCAGATAGCTTCTTTCACACTGACGGGCATGAATACAAACATTTAAAGTCAGACTACACAACATGCAGGCCCCATTTTAGTCAGTTCTGCTGCAAAATGCAATATTGACCCAATTTCCACCCATATGACAGCACTTTTAACGAGCAATGACAGTACAGGAATTTAACCACTAAAACGCATAACAGCAGAAGACCATTATATTGACTCCTTTTTCGTTTTGGCTTCACAATTTTAACAAATCAAACAAAAACTGTCAGTACAGTACTGGAATTTACTGAAGTATAAGTACAATCAATGTGAAGATTGTGTCTGAAAACTTTTCACCAGCTGTTTCACATCAGGCTTGTATTCTGTTGTAGCAGCACAGAGACAGTTGGTCAGATGACTGTCAGTAAGTGATGTGTGCAGTTTTGACTTGATTCCCATGGAGGAGAATGAACTTTCACAGACATATGCAGACCCAAAGTAAATTAGTACTTTTTTGGCACATTTCAGTAATGCAGGGTACGTGTCTTCCTGTACATAGATCATCCAAAATGTTTCAGTGTCCTCTTCCTAATGCCTAGCTTTTAAAATACTATTGCTTTGCAGTTCTGTCATCTCTTCTTCAAACATGGCCCTCTCAACACCAAATCTCACTGCTGAAGGTGAGACTGCCTTTACCTCGACTGAAAATGGATTTTCAGTAAATTCAAGGACGGTCTTCAGGCATTTGACATCTAGAAAATGAGAAGAAAATTTGGTTCTCAGCTCTGAGATGTACTCTATAAAAAAGATGCATGTTCACTGAGCTGTGTCACTTGCAAGTTGAGGATGGGAAAGTGAGTTAAGTATTTCTCAAGAAGCTGATCAGCTAAAAGAGCCAATTTTGTTTTAAATGCAGAAACAACCCACATCAAAGAAGGCAAGTTCTTTTCTTTGCCTTGAAGTTTAAGATTGAGTGCATTTGAATGGCGTGTCATATCAGTGAGAAAAGCCATGTTTAGCAGGAAGGTCTTTGTCTAAACACGACAGTAAATCCTGGTGATCCTTTGCTTCCAAAAACACTCGTACAGCAGGCAGTAGATCCATAAACCGATCTAATACTTTGCCTTGACTCAGCCATCTAACTTCCGCAAGCATGTACTCAATTAAAGCTCAAAATTGTCTATGTTTCAAGGCATTTGCAACAATGAAGTTAGATGATTTTTGTGACTCTATCCATTGTGCTTTTGAGAAATCATCTCTTCAGTTTACTGCATAAAACTGTTCTTGGTGCAGAATGCAATGGTATGAAAAGAAATCTGGAAACTGTGTATTTTTCTTCAGCAATTAGCCCCTTCTCTTTTCCAATCATGGAGGGAGTGCCATCAGTTGTTACCAAAGTAAGATTCTCCAAATCAATGCATTTTCCTGGACCTTCCAAAAATGCCGTCAGCGCAGAATAAACATACTCTCTCCTAGTTTGACCCATCAAAGGTAGTAAACAGTTCTTCGACATACTTTTTACCATTGAAAAAACACACTCAGATTATGAACTGAGATATGTCTGAATGATCAGTAGATTCATCCATTGCCAGACTGAAATACTCAGTGCTTTCAATATCTTTTAGCAATTTGGAAAACAGATCGCCTGCATTGCTTTCAATTTGTCTTACTGCAGTTGAATCAGGGACTTGCAGTTTTGATATTTGCTTACCTATATCCTATTTGTTTTTAAATTCTACAAAAAGTGATTTGCTGCACTCGAAGAAGCACTGCTTCATCAATTCATCTTGGGTAAAAGGTCTTTTTGAGTTAGCTATGGGCAAAGCCATTTTGAAGAAGGCTTCTGTAACGGCATCACTGTCTTTAACTACCGAACAGAACATATCTTGTTGAGTATGAAAATCTCCCAGTAAGGAATGTATCTTAGTTTTTCTTAAACTGCTGTCAAGTGGATACAAGTCTTTGAATTCAGAGTGACAAGATGCATGGTGCCATTGCAGGTTTTCTTCAACACCGCGATACTCTTTTGACAAAGAAGACACATTGGTTTTCCATTTATCTCTGCAAAAGTAAATTCCATCTCCCAAACAGGGTTCAAAATCCTGTGTTTATCCAACAAGTGTCTCTTGTTGCCATTTTAATGCTTCTTATTAAAAAGAAAATTGTATACCAGTATTTCGGGTGTTTAGCTTGAAGCTTCAGGTTGTGTGTTTCTTGGAGTGATTTTACTGTAAAAAGAAGTTTCCAAGACAAAGTGCTCCAACCTGCGGCAGGTGGGGAGCTAGTAAAGTGAGGCCAGACACAAGAGGCAAAAAAGGACAAGTGCCCGGGAGCGCCATCCTGGATTCCCAGCAGGACTGAAATTCTACAAGGGAGTCCATTGCTCCGTGCAGGATGGAGGTAGGGCTGCCCGGCCGTGGTGCCAGATTCAAACATGGCCAGTATGAGCCAGTCAGCACCACTCAAGCTCTGCCTACAAGGCTAAGCGGCTGGCACTTCCCACAATGCCCCAGCAACTCCTCCCTGGGGGCTAGAAACGCAAACATCCTGTACCCATCTGTTCCAGCCAGCCCATCCGCTTGCATCTTTCAATACTCATCCTGCCTGGGAGACACCTCGCCATTGTGGAACATGTTCCCAGTGGAGGCCATGTTCAAAGGATCCCCCCCATAGGCCACGTGTTGAGTAGCCCTGCCCTAAGTCATATTTTCCACAATAATAACCCAGAAAGTCCTTCAATTTTGGTTTTGGTCAGTTCTAAACCCACACATCCTCCATTTTTATTAAATGCTACTTTTCTGCTGTTGAGAATCTTCCTAAATGAAAGAAAACTTCCAAGGAAGAAAAAAGAGATTAGGTGAAAGAAAACGAACAGAAAGTATAACTAAAAGCATTGCTGAGATGAGGGCCTGGCCTTTGCAGACTTACATGGGACCTACACACACAACTCTGACAACACAGAGACTTTTAAGATTCTTCTGAAAATAAAGATTAAGATCAATGGGCAGTACCTTGGAATTTGTTTCATGGTTGCCGCAGAACATTTTTTTTAGATAGGGTATTTGTTAAAGTGGAGAGGAATCAACTAGTTCCATACATTTAAGAATTTTAAAGGCAGAGAATCTGGACTCAAAGAAGCTACAGAAAATACTCACTCCAGGCCTCTTGAAAGCAGATTACATTCACCCCACACATTGCAGCCACCTCCACAATCTCCTCTATTCGTCCATGCAATGCAGCCACCTAGTTGCAAGAAATTTGTCTCTATAAAACTCATACATCATAATTCACTTGTAACATTAAGATTTTGGTTCTGCCATTTTGTTCATATTAAGTAATACCTTGGTTGGCACTTTGTCACATTAATTTCAGTAAGAATACTTGTATGGTAACTTACTGCTCAGCACTAACAGTGGTTCTAGAATAAGGCCCTGAAGAGTTAGGGTATTTTTAAAAAGGCCTTTAGGTGTCTAAACATGCAGGTAGGTGGCTTGTGGGATTTTTAAAAACATGTATCTTCATCTTTAGATGTCTAAATAACTTTTTTAAAAACTG